TTGATGGCATTTGTCTTCCTCCCCTAATTTATGAGACTTTGTTACTCAGTGTTGCAGGCCAGGTCTTGCATCTGGAGGCTCAGGTAAATTCTGGGCAATTTCCTTATGTTAGACTTTGATGAGCTCATATAAAAAGTCTTCTCTGCTCTTATGTATGCTGTGAGTGGATGTGCTAATAGAGCAACAATGCACTCATATTAACACTCTTAGTGTCCATTATGCACGATCATTGTTGACTCCTTTAATCTTTTTCCCTCTTCACAGGAAGCAGGAGCTGGATGGTGTAGCATACATCTGTGCTCCAGGCCATCAGGGGGCTGAGGCAGGAGGATTGCTACAAATTGGAATCCAGCCTGGACCACACAGTGAGAACAGGCCAGCTAGGGTTATAGAATGGGAACCTGTCTTTAAGAAAATTCACAACTGGGCTAGAGAGGCTCGGTATTTAAGAGCCCTTGATGCTACTGCAGAGGGCCTGAGTTCAGTTTGTAATACCCACACAGTGAATGGCTCACAACACTCCATAACTGCAGTTGCAGGGGGTTCTGATGTCCTTTTCTGGCTTCCTTGGGCACCAGGCTCACACATGGTGCATACACATGCAGGCAAAACACACATACACATAAAATAAAAGTAAATGAATCTTTAAGAAAAAAATGCTGAATAATTAAACAAGGCAAAATAATCATCAACAACAACAAAAAGTGGAGGGAAAAGAAGTAAGTGGAACTTTGCCTTCCTGATAATCTGTAGATTCCCATGCCTTATTTCCAAGTACATTGTTACATTTTTACCTTCTAGTTACTCTTTATGTTTTAAGCTTCTCCCCTTTACAAGTTTCCAGTTCTTGGCTACAAAATCTTCCCGTTCTAGGTGATTTCATCCCTCCTAACATCGTCTTCCTCTCCCTGCCCCCCACTTCCATTATTTTTTATGTTTTGTGAAACTTTACTGTCTCTATTGATAAAGATTTATGAACAGTGCATCAGGGTAGGGCCTATTGCCTAGCAGACTTACATAGGATGAGCCAGAGACTTGTCATCTGGTTAGGTGACTCCAGATGACAGTATCTTTCGTCTTGGAATTCTTCCAGTTCTCATATATCTTCCAGAAATAGTCAGAAAATGTGTACCTCAAATGTAGATTTCCACCAGGTTTTAGCATTTTTCACCCATTTACCCAATTCATGCCTAGTATGTTGGTGAAGTCCCAAGTCTGGAGTTTGGTTTTTTTCCCTAAGAGACTGAACTCCAGTATTGGTTTGGGCTTGGGATAGTCAGTCCCTACTAAGGGTGAGGGCTGAGAGTCTGTACTTTGTCCAGGGATAGTCATTCCTTTGTTTTCATCCTAGCTTGGTGAGGTTTGTAGAGGGAGCATATGTTAATTCTGTATTTATTTGAGACTATGTAGGCCAGGCTGCTTTTGAACCTGGAGATGTTCCCTTCCATCCTTCCCGCGCTGAGCACACAGATGTACACTGCTATGCCCAGGTAAATGGATATACTTACCTGATGCACTTTGCTTAATTGGACGCACAGCCTATGTTTTCTAAAATTTAACTTTACGAAAGACAAATTTGTACAACTGAGTCTTGGCAATTAACCAATATTGGGGGAGGGTTGGATAATCGAAAGAAGAGATTAAGAATGCTCATTTTATTATTCAATCAATAATTATATTAGCTCAGCATAGTGAATTTAAAATCTTTGGATTTATCTCTCTGGATTTACTTATAACAATATGTTTGAAATGTGTTAAGTAGAAAAACTGGCAGAAGGAGAAGTGGTTGGTATGTGTGTTTGCAAGAGAAGCGGATGGGAGGAAATAATGGGTCCAAGAGGAAGCAGAATGCTAGGTTTGGGTTTCAGGGAGGGTAGTGTTTAGGACTGCAGCCATACAAACATTCTTAACAGCACCGATAAATTTTAAGGAGTATCTAAACTTGACTCTTTCTTTATTGCCCAATCTCACAGACCATCTAAACTGTCCTATAGTCTTCAGGGTGCTTCCCTAAATAGGATTGTTTGCTTTTTGGTTAACAAAAATTATCATTTGAATGTCCTTTGAACACTTTGTGAATGAGAAGGCTTAGAGTTTTGTCTACCATATTATACATTTTAAAAGAGTATATATGAAAGAGAAGCCTAATGACCCAAGTATCCAAGGGTCCTGATGTTAGGTTAACCGTGGAGAGAACAAACACACCTGAACCAACAATTCTGAACAATTTCATCTTACTTCAGTGAAACTGACTTTTGCCCTATCTCCTCTTTAGGGTTTTTTTTTTTTTTTTTTTTTTTTTTTTTTATCCTTCCTGCTAGACTTATGACTGCCATCGACTATGAATTACTTTGGTCATGTCTGGCATGCAAGGATGTTGACTCTACTTCTTCATGGGGGGGGGAGGGAAGGATGAGCTAGAAGTTTTAACATTTCTTGACCCTAGAAGGCACTGAAACATAAGCCAATATTCTGGACAATATTCCGTCACTATGTTAAATCAGCTTTCCGCGTTTACATCTGCAAACCATGGCATTCATGTATACTAGGGGCTGACAATTTTGTGGCCCAATAGACGGCAAGCCTTTTCATAGGTAGACATCATCCCTACTCACTTGTTTTCTGTGCCTTAAACTCATCGTAGTTTCTCATAAAATGCTGAAGGAAACAATTTGGAGAAGAAATATGATACAGGGAATGCAGGAATTCCATGTGATCCTCAGGGGAATAATTTTGTATGAATTTAATATATTCAATTCCATTCTAAAGGTCATATTGGGAGGCCTGTGGGGCTGCATGTTCAGGGTAAGGGGAGTGATTACAGGAGTTAGGTGGTATCCATGTGTAATCCTTTACTGAAATACAGGCTACAGTCAGGGGGCGCCCTTAGAGAGGCAGACTCCAGTGTACCCTTGGAATTTCCTTCACTCTCACTGGAGTCTTTAAGAGGCTGGCCACTTCCTGAAAGGCTGAAAGTGACCCTACATTAGATTCTTCTGAAATCCTCCCCTTTTGAGGAATACCCTGATAAGAAAACGGTGTGAGAGGAAGGAGCAGGACTCAGTCCAGGCTTGATGTGGGGGCATGGCTGGTCCTCTTATGAGGTGGGAATGGAGTGTGTGTGTGTGTGTGTGTGTGTGTGTGTGTATCAGTTGCCTTTCTTCACTTGGGAAGGAATATTTTTTTTTTTTTCCTGGACCTTTGTTTTCCTCTTAAGTCACTGCTGAGGTATTTGCAAAGCAAGCCAGCACTTATGTTTTATTCACCAAAAGAGAACAAAGCATCTGCAAATAGAAGCCTGCTGGTAAACACTGGAAAGGAGCGGAAGGAAGTTAGAGGACTCCTTCCTTATCCTAACCTGCACCCAGCCTTTCCTCGCTCTCTTCCCTCATCTGTGGAATGGGGTTAATAGAGGATTTTCTCTGCGAGGTGGGGATGACGGAGATTAAGAGATGACGTGGGTCCATTATCCCCAAAATAAACTCGAATTGAACGTTAGCAATAATATTATGACTGTGTGGTCACAACAAAAACTTTTCTCCTCCAGCTGTCAGAAACGTCTGGTGAGTTTCACATTCTTGGTCATGCCGCCTGCTCTTTGGTGGAGCTCCAACAACAGTGCAGGGTGCAAGCTGCAAGGGTTCCGCTAAAAGGCCCGTTAGAGGAAGCACCAAAGCACAAGAAGCAGAATCTCAGCTTGTGCCATCAAATCTTGGAAAGTCATCTCAGGGAAGAAACAGAATGCCTCTGTAAAAAGAAAAGGGCCCCTTTCTGGGAATCACTTCTGCTTTCCTGAAGAAAGAAAATCCCCCTATGTTGCAATATTTTTTTCAAGACAGACACTGACAAGCAAAAAGGAGATTCTTGGTGTTCCGAGGCGGCACCGGGCGGGGTGGGTGCGTGGAGCTCAGAACCTCGCAGTTCTTTGTTGGGGGCGGGGAGCCCCAATTCCACGGGCCGAGCGCTGCCCTTCTCCGAGGTCGCCCCACGGGGACAGCTTCGCGTCCCTGGCAGCCCCTCACCCCACCCCGCCCCGTCCCTGCAGACCCCACGGCGCGGCCAGACCGCGGTGCCTTGAAGACTTTGCTGGCTGCACATGCTCAGCTCTTTGTGTGTAGTTGGGAGTTTTTAAGAAAGAGAGAAGAACGCAGGCAGGAGGCTGGGGGAGAGCTGCACTTTCTCTGCTGCGGCCCGAGGACTGCTGCTTTCCCGCCGAGGCTGCGAAGCCTGCGTGCAATTCTCCTCCGTGGGCTCCGCGGCGCGGGCCACACCTGGGGGACACACTCCCATCCGAGCTGGCCGGGTGGGCGAGCGCGGGGGAGTCCCGGGTCCCCGTCAGGGGCCGGGCGGGACCACAGCGCCGGGATCGGGAGGGGGGAGTGGAGCGGCCAGGAGCGCGCCGGGCTGCGGGCGCGTCCCTGCCCCGCGTGGGCTGCGGCCGCGGGCCGGGCGCCTGGCTCTGGCCGGCGGAGGGGACGCGGCCGCTGCGGGGCCTCGGAGTGGCCGGAGGGAGGGCGGCGGCAGGCTGACGTCCTCGCTCCCGTCCCCCCTGCTCGCATTGGTCGCGCCCAGCTCGGGGCTCCCGCTCGGCCCCGCCCTCCCGGGTTTGCAGCGCTCGGAGCCCGGGCACTGGGCGCGGGGCGCGGGCGAGGCGGGGCCGCGCGGGTCCCCACCCCTCCCCTCCCCGCCCCTCCCCGCCCGGTCCCCTCCCCCTCGGGTCCCCTCCGGAGCGCGGGGCGCCGCGGGCTCTCTGCTCCGCTCCCGGCGCTGCCGCGGCCGCGGGGTCTGGCTCGCCGAGGACAAGGTCAGGGGAGCGGGCGGCGATGCCCGAGCGCGGCTGGGGGCAGCCGATCGGAGGCCGCCGCGGCTGGGGACCGTCGCTCGGGACCGGACGGCCGGACGCGGGTCGGCGGCGCTGAGGAGCGGAGCGGCGGCGGCGAGGTCGTCTGCGGCCGGGATCCCGCCCCAGCGGCAGCCCCGTGCGCGCCCGCGAGCGCAGCCCCGCCGGGCCGGGGCGCCGGGGCGCCGGGGAGGATGGAGCCGGGGGGCCGGGCCCGCTCGGGTGCCCCGCAGCCTGCAGCCCCGGGGCTGTGCAGGGCTCGGGCGGCGGGCGGCGGGGGCGCCTCCTCCTGGCTGCTGCTGGACGGGAACAGCTGGCTGCTCTGCTATGGTTTCCTCTACCTGGCGCTCTACGCTCAGGTGTCCCACTCCAAGCCCTGCGAGAGGACCGGCTCCTGCTTCTCGGGTCGCTGTGTCAACTCCACCTGCCTGTGCAACCCGGGCTGGGTCGGGGACCAGTGCCAGCATTGCCAGGGCAGGTTCAAGTAAGTGCCACCGCGGGGCCCCGAACCTCAGCCCTTCCCCGCCGCCGCCGCCGCCGCCGCGGTGGCTCCCTGCCCTGCCCTGCCCTGCCCTGCCCGCTGTGACCTCGGGGTCCCCCGCTCCCACTGCCCGGACATGGGGCCCCGGCGCTCGCGCTGCGCCCCCTCCTGCCGGCCTCACGCTGCCCCCGGGAGCCCCAGCCCGGAGAGCCCAGCCCTGGCTGAGTCGGTGCTTTCGCGTGTCCTCCGTGGCTGGTCATCTCTGCGCAGAGCACTGCCGCTCCCAGTCGGGCTGCCAAACTCCGCCAATTAGGACAGTTATCTGGTTCTTTCTGTCTGTCGGAAACGGTGCAAACAACGCACGAAAGCCCACGGGCGCTGCGGGAAGCGAGAGGCGCGTAGGTTTAAAGTTGTGGCCCAGCCCCTTCCCCTGTAGTCACTGGGCACTCTGCACAGTTTAGCATGGCGGGCGTGCTGCGTTCTGGTACCTAGTTGTGAGCTCTGGGGGCGATCGTCTTATTCATCCCCCACAAGTATGCGTCCTATGCAGGATCTGCTGAGAGAGACCCAGGCAGCAATTTAACTTAAACTCGGATCAAGGTTACCGGGAAAAGTGCTGAGTCGTGATTCCAAGCCAGCCAGCTTTACTCCACTTTTTTTTTTTTTTTTTTTTTTTTTTTTAGAGATGTTGGATTTGATTGGACTGTCTTGGGTTCAGTGGCTTTGGACAGTTGCAAAAATCAGTTTGGTTTTTCTCAAGCTGAAGGTGCTAAGGAGTGCGAGTCTCTGGGGCCAAGATACTCCTCCCTGTCGGTTGATGCTCATTAGATTTCTGCGGGCTACTAGAAGAGGGAAAGGCGGCTGTGGGTAAAGAAGTTTCTCGAGGCTTTTAGTGCAGCCCTCCCGAGAACCTGCGCAGTTTTTAGAAAGCTTGTCCTGGATACTTACCATGAAGGTTGCTGGCTGATTTGTGGCTGGGAAATTTTATCACGTAGATGACTAGTATTTGTTGTGAAGATGGTAGCAAAATCTAGGTGAAGTAGCTCTGGTTTTGAGGCAAAGGTAAGGATACGGTTCACACTATTAATATAGCACAGGGTAGTTTCTTTGGAGTTTTAATAGCAGCATATTTTTTTCTTCTTTTCTTTCCCCCATTTTTATTGCTGATGCCCAGAGCATTGCCCCTTATTCAACGTAAAAAGAAGTTTGTTTTAAAAATGACACTTTCAAAACTTCAGGAGATTTTACTCTTTAGTTTGTTGTGTGCAAGATGAACCTTAGGTGAAATTTGTTTGGAGGCGAAGGTGTTCCAGGGTTTCAGAAGTTGATGTGTAAGCTTTACAAATGCACGTAAAATAAGTTGTGGAAGGGGCCAATGAAAAGTTTGGGAGTGTTTTACAGCGAGGCAAGATCGATCCATGCCTGATTCCTCATTTCCTTTGGCGATGGTTCACCTGCTAAGAGAGTGTCTTGAATGTGTCTGCTGGGAGCAGCTGAGAAGGACCGTCTACACACATTTTTCACATTTTCTACAGAACAGTAAGATATCTGATCCATATGTAACCAGTGGGTCCCCGCTGCCCTGGTGGAGAATTTGCTCCGCCTGCATTCTGTAGCAGGGACACTTGTGAAAGCTGGGTCAGCAGGCTACAGACTTCACTTAGATGCTGTCCCACTTAGTAAGAGAAATCACACAGATCCAGGTAAAAGTAGCCCGCATAACACTGGAAGATAGATGTTCACGAACCAAATGCATTATTGAGTAGCAGGAGAGCAGGCTTTTCGTGGAGATAGACGATAAGTCCTGAACTTATTATTGGATACTTATCCCTGGGAAGGTGTGATTCCCATGATTCATTGTGCTCTTGATAAATGCGACTTAGTTTTTCTATGAAAAACTAGGGTAAATATAAGTTTCTAGGGTAAATATAAGTAGTACAAATCTGTCTTTCCTCATGCATACTCTTTGGGGCAATCGAATGTTTATTGTTAATTATAGCAGACCTTTGACTAACTTCAATGTGGAAAAATGAATGTTCTCTGTTTCTCTTCACTTCCAACTAAAATCATAATAGATAATTTATATCATCGTCTGTATTATTAGAATGTGTAATCACGGAGTAGGGATTTAAAATAATTTAAGTGGAATGTTTCAGTATAAGTTTGTGAAGTTCCTTTCTTTTTCCCTCCATTATTTGGCTTCTTAAACAAATTTGATTTTACTCCCTCACTTGTTTTATAAGGCCCTGTGATTTCATTCTGGCCTCAGGGTATTTTACCCCGTCCGTCCGTCCGTCCGTCTGTGCCTCTCAGAACTCTTCACGGCTAGTCTTTGCATGGGTAGCTACTGTGGAGCCTTTTAATCGTAGCTTAATGACAGGTTTCTGACGGAGGCTTTTCCAACTGCCCAGTCATTTCTTGCTGTACCCTGCTTTAGCGCAGCTTCTCCAACTCAGTGATTTCAAAGCAAAGCACTTGATTAGCTGTTTTTTCTTTACAATTTTATTTTTATTTTTTTTGTGGCCCCCCCACACACACATTTTGTGGACCCAAGCCAAATCTTACATATGCTCTTCAAGTGCTAGGCTGAATTGCAATTTAAAAATTATTTTTATTTTTTAAATTATGTGGTGTGCGTATGCGTGTATGCATGTATGTATAGTGTGTGCATGTGTGTATTTGTGTATTGTATGCCTGCGCATTTGTGTGTGTGCATGAGTGTGTGAGTCAAGGAGTCCAGAAGAGGTCTCTAGAACCCCTGGAGTTGGAGTTACAGGCACTTGCGAGCTTGCTAACATCCAGGGTTCTGGGAGTTGAACTCACTTCTTCAGCAAAAGCACTGTGTGTTTGTAACCTCTGGTCATTTTTCTAGCTATAATTTGTAATGTACCATTTATTTAGAGTCTGGTATTTGGGAAGTTTTGTCTTCTGTATACATCGCTGAAGCTATCACAGTAATAATAATGGTCACACCCCAAAGTTTTTAATGCCTCCCTTCCTCTCCCATCGTTTCTGTTTCTGTAGGAGAAATGCCGATCCTGTAAGTACACGATTAGCTGTTTTTAAATGAAAGGAATTTTATTATATGATTTTATGTGGATAATCGTTCTGCCTGGAGGCCAGAGAGGGTGGTGGCATATTCCCTGGAACTGGAGTTAATGACACTTAGGGCTTTCCATGTGGTTGCTGGAAATTGAATCTGGATCCTGGAGGAGCAGCCGGTGCTCTTAATGGCACAGCCATCTCTCCGGCCACTCATGTTTAATTTTTAAGTAGACACTGTTTTGCAGAGTGACTGCAATCCTTTACCTTCCCAAGGCTATTCGAATGTTTTAGTTAATCCACAGCCTCATCAATTCCTGTCTATTTAAATTGTAACAATTCTAGTAGATAAATGATATGTCATTGGTCTTTCTAAAGCATCCATTTGTGTGTGTGTGTGTGTGTGTGTGTGAACACGTGTGACCCACCCTAAGATGCGTAGAGGTCGTGTGTCAGCTGCAGGAGTCGGTTCCACCAGGGGGTTCTGGGATGGAACTCAGGCTGTCAGCATCCTCCATGAGCCAGCACCATACCCTGCTAAGCCATCTCACTGGGCTGTAGTCCGCACCCTCTAATGGCGAATGACACCGAATGTGTCCTCGTGTTCATACTTGCCATCTGTTTGTCTTCTTTAGTGAGCAAACTTTCAAATCTTGTCCACATTAGATTTTCCTCTTATTTTTGAATTTTATGAGCTCTTCCATTACTGGATGTTACTTTATTATTTGGAAGTATTTTTCTGCCAGGTTGGGCTTCTCTTCTGTTTTCTTTTTTAAATGATACATTTTTTAAATTTAAATTTGATACAAGCTTGTTTTGCATGTCAATCCCAGTTCCCTCACCCTCCCACCCTCCTGTATCACCCCCACCAAACCCCACCCCATCCTCTTTCTGCTCCCCAGGGAGGGTGAGGCCTTCCATGGGGAGTCTTCAGAGTCTGTCATATCATTTGGAGCAGGGCCCAGGCCCTCCCCCATGTGTCTAGGCTGAGAGAGTATCCCTCTATGTGGAATGGGCTCCCAAAGTCCATTTGTGCACTAAGGATAAATACTGATCTGCTACCAGAGGCCCCATAGACTGCCGGGTTCTCCTAACTAACACCCATGTTCAGGGAGTCTGAGTCAGTCCTATGCTGGTTTCCCAGCTGTCAGTCTGGGGTCCATGAGCTCCCCCTTGTTCAGGTCAGCTGTCTCTGTGGGTTTCTCCAGCCTGGTCTTGACCCCTTTGCTCATCACTCCTCCCTTTCTGTAACTGGATTCCAGGAATTCGGCTCAGTGCTTAGCTGTGGGTGTCTGCTTCTGCTTCTATCAGCTACTGGGTGAGGGTTCTAGGATGGCATATAAGGTAGCCATCAATCTCATTTTTGTGGAAGGGCATTTAAGGTAGCCTCTCCACTATTGCTTAGATTGTTAGTTGGGGTCATCCTTGTAGATCTCTGAACATTTCCCTAGTGCTAGATTTTCTCTTTAAACCTATAATGGCTCCCTCTATTATGGTGTCTCTTTTCTTGCTCTCCTCTGTTCTTCCCCTGACCCAATCTTGCTGCTCCCTCATGCCCTCCTCTCCCCTCCTCTCTTCCCCTTCTCTTTTTCCTAACTCCCTCTCCCCTTCCCTGATGCTCCCAATTTGCTCGGGAGATCTTGTCCCTTTCCCCTTCTCTGGGGGACCATGCATGTCTCTCTTAGGGTCCTAGTTTTTTTTTGGCAGTGTAGATTGTAGGCTGGTGATCCTTTGCTCTATATCCAAAACCATATATGAGTGACTACGTACCATGTTTGTCTTTTTGTAACTGCATTACCTCACTCAGGATAGTTTTTTCTAGTTCCACCCATTTGTCTGCCAATTTCAAGATTCTATTGTTTTTTTCCACTATGAAATAATCCATTGTGTAAATATGCCACATTTTCTTTATCCATTCTTCACTTGAGGGGCATTTAGTTTGCTTCCAGGTTCTGGCTATT